TGTTATTATGTGCATGGGAGTGGGGGGAGGGGGAGTGTTACATATAGCCCAAGGCAGATGAGGCAAGTTCAGAACAAAGGGCTGCCCACTGTTAAATTGCCTGTGAGGTTCACAATCCTTCAAAGATGGGGTCTACACCAGGATCTGATACTGGGTCCTAATGCACTGTGACGTCATGGCAGCTGTTTCAGATGGGATCCTCCCAAATCACCAGACATCTGAAGTCTAGAGAGAAAGACTAGAGAGCACTGGTGGCCCCAGTGGGACCACCAGTTAGTCAATCAAGCAGAGGCAGCTAGGTGGCATCACACAGAACAGAGCGATGGATCTGGAGATAAGAAGACATGAGTTCAAATCCAGTCTCAGACATTTACTAGCTTGGTGACCCTGGGTAAGTCACTTAATTGCCCTCTGCCTCAATTTCCTCAAATGTATAATGGGGATAATGATAGCACCTATCTCCAAAGGCTGTTGTGAGGATTGAATGAGAAAACATTTGTGATTAGCACATTGTAGATTAGCACAGTGCCTGGCACATAGTAGGCAATAAATAAAGGCTTGTTTCCTTCGATCAATCACTAAGCATTTCTTAAGCACCTACTATGTTCTAGGCATTGTGCTAGGGGCTGGAAATATAAAGACAAAAATGGAAAGGTTTCTACCCTTAAGAAACTTTCGTTCTATTGGGAAGACAGCATGTAGATACATGTGTATGTAAATACATACGTATGTATTATAAAATGAGTGTAACATATGTAACACATATAATCCATGTGTAGATACAGAAGATATACACAGCAGTTATGGAGGAAGGAAGAAAGGCTTCCTATATGAACCTTGAGGGTACTCCATGGATCAACTTTAGGGAGTCCGTGAATTTATCTGGGAAACCCCTACATTTTTATTTCAACGATTGCTTTCCTTTGTGCTATTGCGTATTTCATTTTATCCATTTAAAAGCCTGGTTCCTTCACTCAGCTGCCAAAGAGATTCAGGATGTAAAAAAATGGAAGAGTCCCTGATTGTAAGGAAGGTGGTATTTGAACTAAGTCTTAAAAGAGGCCATTTTTCTCCTCATTTCTTACCTAGCCTTAAGTTGTCTCAGACAAACTGAGACCTGTTAAAGACCTTAACTTAAAAAGTCCAAGATCTCCCAGTGCATCCAGGGCCACCTCCAGTCGTCCTGATCTATGTCTGGCCTAGATGGCTCCAGAGGAGAGAATGAGACTGGTGACTTTGCACAGCCCTGCCTCACTTAAATCCAATTTACTTGCACGTCATGTCATCACCTTCCTAATGCCATGGTCCTCTTCTGAACCTAGGACAAATAACAAAGGAAATGAGGGCTTCTATACACGAAGCTGAAGAGAGAGAATTTTTTAGGAATGGAGGATAGCTGGCCGATGAAGCAACTCAGAGAATTCAGGTAGAACACCCAGTATGGGGATTAGAGAGCTGCCTAGTTGGATTAGAGTGGAAGGGACTAGGAGCAGAGTCATGTGCTTTATAAGCCCAAAAGAGAAGTTTACATTTTATCCTAGAGGCAATAGAGAGTCACTGGAGTTTACAGAGTAGGGGAAGGACACGGTTAGATCTGCCCTAGTCATTGGGAGCAGGAAGTGTCCATGTGGGGGAGGGAGGATTTGAGGTGAGAAAATGCCCATTTGAAGCCACTTAGGTTTGTTAATTAACCTGAAGTCAAAATTGGCCTGGAAAGTGGAAGCTAATGAAGACCATCTGAGGGGGCGGATGGGAAAAGAGACCCCTTCCTTTTCTTCAATAGTGCATTTGAGTCAGGTTATACTGAGCAAGTTCTTAAAAGTGATGAAAGAGGCAGAAGGTCAGGCAGGAAGGCCAGGCTGGAAGGTCAGGCAGGAAGGCCAGGCTGGAAGGTCAGGCTGGAAGGCCAGGCTGGAAGGCCAGGCAGGAAGGCCAGGCAGGAAGGCCAGGCTGGAAGGCCAGGCAGGAAGGCCAGGCTGGAAGGCCAGGCTGGGCTGAAGCATACTCGGTCTAGGGGGACGGGAACTTGGAGCCTGAGCTCAGCAGCAGGTCTCCATGGAATGGAGGGGAGGGCCAGGAGCCTGTATCAATCAGTCTCATCCAGAGATGCTCAGGTTGGTTCCTTCACCCTCCCCTAATTCCCCTCCCCAGCTCTCTGCTTGACAGATGGACTTGCTGAATCACTGCAATTAGCATCTCATTTGGGGGATGACAATTGACCAAGTTTCACTTCCTGGAATTAATAGTAAAGGTCCTACTGGGATTATTGTGACAGGGATTAGAGGTGTGTGTGTGTGTGTGTGTGTGTGTGTGTGTGTGTGTGTGTGTGTGAACACACCAAAGCCAGGAAGCCTTGGCTAATGAAGAGACCCTATAGCTAGCTTTGCCCTCTTTGCCCACAGAAGATGAGCCCATTGATTTGCTTGGGTATAAACAAGTCTTTTGTTCCTGCTGGGCCCTGGGCATTGAGATCCAGTAGAAGGCCTGATCCCATCAAGGGTGGGACAGGTCACAGTCTCCAGAATGTCCAGATCACACATCCCAATGCAGATTTCTCCTAGGGCTTGTTGAAAGGGTCGAGGCCGACATTTTGGCTTCACTGTGCAGCTGAACTCCAGTCCCGAGCTTCATGGCCAATTCGATTCAACTCAACAAGCATTTGTTAAGGCCCTACTATGTTATTTGCTAGGTGCTGGAGGGACAGAGAGACAATAAAAAACAATTCCTGCCTTCAAAAAGCTGATGTTCTCCCAGGGTGGGGGGAGGGGAAGCAATATGCATCCAGAGAAGCAAATATAAGACTATCTGAGGATATCAAGCACCTAACTGTGGAAAGGCTGCCATGATGAGGTGGTGCCTAAGCTGGGCCTTGAAGTAAGTGAGGGATTGCAAGAGGGAGAGCATTCCAGGCAGGGGACATAGCCTGGGAAAAGGCATGGAAGCCCGACTTTCCTTCTGCACTAGGCAACATTAGCATGGAGACAGATCCTAATTTATTTATCAGTGATTTGCATCTGAAGAGTGTAGCTTGCTATAGCAGTCATTCAAGCTCTGGCATTCTAGGAAGCTCTTTAAGATTCTGAGTTCCCTCCATCCATGAATCTGGGGGTCCAGTTCCTACCCCTCTCCTGACTCATCCTTCCCTAAGCACATGAATTGGAAGAGGACATGAATAGTGTAGGCAGTATGCCATGTCATAACGGGAGTAAAGGGAGCAAATGATGCAGGCTGCACTTTATTGGGGAAATTTGTAGAACACATGTACTGCCTCTCTTTGCCTTAGACCCAGGCACAGGATTGGGTATGGCTGCCGCCTTCAGACAGTCCCTTGTCCTATCAGTGAACAGACAGCTCTATGGAACCCAGGAAACATGGAGTACGTGAGAAGTCAAGGCCGCATGGAGGCTGAGGACACACCCCCTCTGCTCTAGGAGAAATCTGCATTGAAATGTGTGATTTGGACATTTTTCTCCTAGAAGGAATCGATAACCTATAGCATTTAGAACTCCATTGGGGATGAGCCCGCTTTCAATGTCATCTAAGGCCTAGAGACTTTCTCAGTAATCAACTAATATTAAAGCTACTTCCTGGGTTTGGGGACCTGGTTAAAGTGTGGCCTAGTGTTCTGGGCCTGGCAGAAGTATGGCTTTGAGACCCTTACACATATCCTCCCCTCTGCCTACCTGAAAGCCCCTAAGGCCCCCAAACCATCCCTCACATGGCAGCAAGATGCATCTTCCTTAAGTCCCATCTGTCTTGATCAAGGAACCACTCAGCCATGAACATCAGATATGATCTCCTCTCCCTTTCCCAGGCTCTGAAGTGGCTGCCTTCTTGATCCTCAACTGCTCTTATCAGCCCTATTATTGGGACCTTCTGTACAGCTAATGGCTGTACATTAATGGCTAATGGCTAATTGAATCAGGAGGACTAATGGCTAATTGAGTTATCGGTTGCTGTTTGGTGATTTGAGCTGCTCCCTAACTTAAATGCACATGTCCAAGAAAAGCAAAGGTTCAAAATAAAAAAACCTTCAAGTATTTCTAAAATTGTCTTGACCACAGCCAACTACCTTCCCCAGAGATCTCTTTATTCCTAGGGAAATGTCTCTCTCTGCATTTGTTTAAACACTTGCTTCTCTAATTATGTGTTTGTTTGCAGGAAGGCAAAGCTTTAGATACACTTCAACACCCAGGTCTCCTGAAACCGGCTTCTTTTTGACCACTCCCCACCGTGCAGTCTGCAGGTCCGACATTTTCCCTTCAACTTAAGGACAGAGGGGAGTAGACAGTGTGCTTGAAAAGTGTGTCCCACAGACATCCAGATTCCCCATTGTGGCACTGTGGCAAGGATCTGACAACTTCCTTTCTAGGGGAAGGTTGAGAGAGAACGCCAAATTGGAGGCTAGACATAATAAGCCAGGTGCAACCCCCCCCCCCAAAATCCTGCAGAGATCTTCATTTTCGTGGATGCTCTTATTGGAATCCAGATCATAGTCTTGGAGAATCCTTGAAGCTTAGAGTCAGGAGGGACCTCTAGGTCCAATATTTCAACTCACATCTGAAGCGGGGACAGAATCATCTAGACTGAGGGTGGGTCAAATCACCTCCCCACTCCCACCCTCAGACTGAGGAAAAGTCTGTTAACCCGTATAGTAGTTAGCCTTAAAGCCAGCTATTAGGTCTATCCCTCCCCTCCCCCTTGGGCATCAGTGTTATAAAGGGCTTCCACTCTAGTGGGTGGAAAAAAATGGGGATGAAAGCTTATTGTCTTAGAGCTAAAAGCCCAAAGTCCCTGGCTGCTACATTTGAGACTGCCACCTAGTTCGAGCTCAGCCCCAGTCGCATAAGGCCCTCTGAAGGACCACGCTCTGAAGGGACCGAAGCATGGTGCAGAATCCATTAAACTGCCCTATGAATGTGGAGACTAGCCGAGGAAGCTGCAGAATTTGGAGAGGGATCTAGCGCAAGAGAAATAGGCATTAACTCTAGTCTTGAGTGATGACTGAGGTCTATTTTCGTCACCATGGAAACCTCACTGGCAGGGCCCACTTTCCCACAGTGGCGCCAGAGGTCAACACCACAGCCGATAAGTACTCCAACCTTTACATGTATGTCGGCTTGTTCCTGAGTCTACTGGCTATTTTGCTCATCCTGCTCTTTACTATGCTTCTGCGTCTTAAACACGTCATTTCTCCCATCACCACCGAGAATACCAGCAGCAGCCCCCAGTTCACCGATGTTGAGATGCACAGCCGGATCCCCACCCCTTAAAGTTGGGCCAAGTGTTACTGGTCAAGAGCTCTGTGAACTGCGAGACAGCTCCCCACTGCACTCCTGGAGGGCAGGGACACTGCCCAGACCTTCTCACGAAGGTGATCAGAAGCTCGGGTTATGTTTTGGTCTTATTCACATGGCCTGACCCTGACTGGGAGACACTGGACAGGTCTCTCATTTTCTGAGACTCATTCCTTGCCAAGAAGCCTGGAAGAGGCAGCTGGGAGAGAGGCCAGGTTTCCATAGTGACACAAGAGCCCCTGAGCCCTGCAGGAACCCCTGGCTCCTGAAACTCACATTCTATTGTTGGGAGAGACGCTGGATCCTCGGAAGGCCCGGGAATAAGACAAGGTAGCTTGCCCACAAAATGGTTGATTATCTAAGGAAGAAAAAGGCCCTTTGGGTTTTAAGCACTTGCTTTTCGTATTTAAATACTAAAGCAACACTTGTGTAGACAGGCTCAGAGGAGGCCCCAGCCCTCTTCAAAGGGAACAGCAGTTGAATCACACTGGGACATCTGTCTGTCTTTGGGGGAAAGCAGATACTCAGGGTCGCTTCTCTACTTAAGGGAGCAAGCTGACAGCGGGGCATTTCTGGGAAATGAACTCAGCTTCAGAGAAATATGTGCCTTTTGTATCTGCTGTACTACTATTGCTGGACCTTGAAAAACTCAGATAAGGAAAGATGCTTCATCACAAACCATTGCAAAGAAGAGATCCTAACTACACAAGAAAAAATCAAGCTAAAATGCTATCGCCAGGGCAATGAAGCTTACATCATACAAAGGCCTTCTCTTCCTTTCTCTCCCTCCCCATCCCGGTGCAGGATGGAGCTGCTAGACAGAAAAGACAGGACTTTTCTTTAAAGAGTGTCTCATGAAAGGAGGTGTGAGCTAAGCATGTTAAAGTAGGAAGTCAAGAACCCTGAGATTCTGCCACAGAACCATTGGGGCTTTGGGCAAAACATTAACATCTTCTGGGCCTTGAGTTTTCCTTTCTGTAAAATGGGCAGATAAATGTTTACTTGGTAGTAAATTGTTCTTTGTGGTGTGTGTGTGTGTGTGTGTGTGTTTTGGAAAGGTAAGCAGAGCAAAAACATATATCAAATATGCATCTGTGATCCCTAGCATGTTGTACCCATTAGGAAAGGGGAGCAGATCTTCTATTCTTGCTCCGTGTACCAATGTGTGTGTAAGATGCCTAATTAAAAGGATCCTTATTAAGACTGATGTCCTCAAACGTGATATTAGTTTCTGTTCCAGAAGTCCCCCTCTTCCTGCCCAAAAGGTCATTTCTTCCCTATAAGTGTGAAGGACTCAGCTTTCTTGAGCAGCCTTGGGATAGACTGCCAGCAAAGGAGACAGAACTGGTTAGAGCTAGAAACTTTCTTGAAGGAACCAAAGGAGATAAACGCCATTTTGAAGGAAGTCTAAACTGTAACTTGGATCATAGCCTTGTCACACAAGAATTTCGAAGCCTGAGATAGTGTTGTCTGCTAGACATACTTTCTTGGCCCAAAACATGAAAGGTCAGGGGATAGGAGTGGATAGGGCACCGGCCCTGAAGTCAGGAGGACCTGAGTTCAAATCCAGCTTCAGACCAAACACTTGACACTTGCTAGCTGTGTGACCCTGGGCAAGTCACTTAACCCCAATTGCCTAAAAAAACCAAAAAAACAAAAAACTCCATGAAAGATGGCTATTTAGTTTCCCAGGGTGCTCCCCCAGAGTGAAGGGGGAATTGAATGGCTGATACTGCAGACCCGCTTCAGCCTGTGACCCTCTGTGGGTTACGCCTCCTCTCAGCTAGCCCCTTCCCTGTGTTCTATATCTGGCTTGGTGGTGAAACTCCCAAGTGATTTCCATTTTTATACACAGTCATTTGCCAATGCTTACCTCTCTAAGGGGCCCCAACGTATTAAATCCCTACACGGAGAGCTGAAATTAGCAGCGGTCCTGACGGTGCACCTGTTCCAGATGAACAGCATTCTCCTTCATTCAGGGTGGCTGCAACAGGTGGGCTGGCCCTTTGTTAGTGTGCATGACTCCCCTCTGACCCCACATTTTCTGAAAAGCCACCAGCATCCTTTTCTTTGGTTTTTCCATTTAATTATATTTTGGTTTTTTTTTCAGTTACACATAAAGATAGTTTCCAACATTCACTTTTATAAGATTTTTGAGTTTCAATTTTTTTTTCTCCCTCCCTCCCCTCGTCTCTCAAGACGGCAAACAATCTGACATAGGCTCAACACATAAAATCCTATTAAACATATTTCCACATTAGTCATGTTGTGAAAAAACAATAAGAACAAAAGGGAAAATCCATGAGAAAGAAAAAACAAAAAAAAAAAGAGCAAATAATTTGCTTCAATCTGCATTCAGACTCCAGAGTTCTTTCACTGCATGTGGATAACATCATGAGTCTTTTGGAAATGTCTCAGATCATTGCATTGCTGAGAAGAACCAAGTCTATCAAAGTTGGTAATCGTACAACGTTGCTGTTACCCTGTACGGTGTTCTCCCACCAGCATCCTTTTATTTGTTTTTTAATATGTTATATCTTGGCAGCTTGAGCTCAGCTCCCTTGGATTCTTTGTAATGGGGACATTAAGGGTTGTCATTATCACTGGTAGCCTGGTAAAACTCCCGAAAAACACAAAATGCCAACTTATTCCAGGCATACCCTTCACCCTTAGAATGTATGATTTCATCGGCAGTGAGGGAATTCCCTTTACCACTGCGCTACAGTGGTAAACTGGCCTGCAACTTGACCCTTAAAGGGTGGTCTGGGGCACTGAGAGAAGTTATATGGCTTGCCCAGAGTCCTACAGCCAATATGTGCAAGAGATAGGCCTGGAACCTAGGTCTTCCTGACTCCAAGGCCAATCCTATCCACTTTGCCACCCCCCCACCCCCACCACCTCTCAAGGAAGGCCCTAATGCATTGAATGCTTTCCACAGCAGTAAACAACGATGAGTCCCCTCTTTCTATGTTGCACCCTCAGTTCCTAAGTGCCATGGGTTCTTCAGATAGCCATTTAATGAGTCACTGGATTCCTCAGGATCACTCCGGGCCTAGATTGTGCAAAGAACCACCATGATCTGGTTTCAGTTGAATACAGTCAGAGGACAAGAACCTATTTGTAAGGCACTTTTCTCCTACCCTTTACCAGAAAAGTGACCTACACAAAGTCATGGTTTGTCCCATGGAATTGACTTCACTGGCCTCTTGCTTTTGATCTTTTGCTGATGTAAGCCATAGACCTACAGGACTGGGACAGCTCCTCAATCACTGACAGGGCCCAAGATTCCCAGTTTAGTAGGTGATTATTCACCTGGAAAACAACTCCCTGCTTTCATCACAAGCCCCCGGGGAGTCAGACTTCCACTGAGCATCAGCTAAGACACAGCTCCAAGCCTCCCATTACACAAATATAGCAACATTCAACCCCACAATATCCAGCAATAACACAAGGAGAGGGGCAGTTATGCAGCTCCTTCATTATAACAATTCAGGGGGTAATTAAGTTTTCAAGAAAGCAATTGATTCTGTAAGCATAGTTATCCTACCGTAAAAAAAAAAAAGTTCCACCCTGACATTCAACAATAGTCCATGCCACACATAACTTATGACATCAGTAGATATTATCACGAAGGCAGGGTTCACAAGAATGGGCACCATTTGCAATGACCTCTCCTGCCTCCTTGCTACCCTCTGATCTCCTAGGCAGAAGAGTTCTATATGGGCAGCTCCTTCTTGGCCCAAGGCGAATAAACCAGAATGTGAATGCACTCAGTAATCACAGATGAGGACTTCTTGTTGGATTCCTCTAAAGGGCAAGCTCCCCTAGCACATTTAAGGAGTCAAATTGCAAACATGAGTTTCCACACGTGTGAAAAGCTTGCATTGTACCTCCAAGCAAAGCCCAGCTGCCTGGATGCTACTTCAACATCCTAGCCCTTCCTCAGATTAGGCTCACCTTTGGGCTTTCACCCTGCTTACTGACTGCTCTGCTTTTGACTCCATGTCATAGGCATGTGTCTCTAGCCAATGGGTCCCACAGACTGGGCCCACTGGGAAGCAAACAGAATCATTCGTCACCAAATAACTGAGTCTGCTAGATTTTATGGCTGCGTTGCTGCAATCAAGGAGGCTGACGCTGGTGGGTCACGTGAGCTCAGGAATCCTGAGGTTGGACACCAACATGGCAGGCTGCCTAGGGAGGGGTGAAACAACTCAGGTCAGAGGTGGAGGTCAAAGCTCCAGTGCTGATCGGTGGTGGGGTTAGACCTGTGAATGGCCACTCAACTTCCAGCCTGGCTGAGATAGGGAGACCTGGTCTCAAAAACCAACCAACCCAAAAAAGCCCATACCATCCCCACAGGACAAGCATCTATTTGTCAGTCAGCATATACATATTCACAATGTTTAAAGTGTGACAAGTTGACTTCCTGTATGTTAGCTATCCTACCACTCCCCCCCGCCCCCAGCCAATCACATTTTCATCAGGCCAATTCAGATCTTCAGTGGACACAGCATCCAAGTTTAGTCTCAGTATATTGGATAGTAGGTAGTCTTCTCATGGTGCTGCTGTTCTCTGGGTTGTGGGGGCAGGACTCCATCAGGTCTGGATCCTCAGGGACTCTGGAATGGTTCGCTCTCTAGGCTGTGTCAGGCCCTCTGAAGACAAGGACTAGAAGTTACCTTAAGGTCCCTGGCAGTCCATCAGCTAAACCAGAAGTGTAGGCTTTCTCCGAGTCAATGATCCTGGCAAATGACCAGTGAGAGGAAGTTATCTGATGCTGGCGGCAACATGTTGTACAAGGAGTTCAGAGTGGAATCCAAGAAGCTTTGCCCTGCTCTTTGTCACCCACCTCAAGGGGAGAGGAGTTCTTAGCTGGTCCCTGAAAAAACAAACCCAATTGTCAGGTGGTAGGGCCTGAGACAAGGGCAGAAGGGGATGCTTTCCTGATCTCCTTTTTGAAAGGGAAAACCAAG